CGCCTCGTCCCGAAGCCACCGGTCCTCCCCCTGCAAACGCCTCTCCGCGGCTCTCCGGGCGTTCGGCGCTCAGGCTGGGTATCCTCCTCCCTCCGCGTTTACGAAACTGCAAAAAGGTTATTTAGGTAGCAGTTTGCTCCTCTACATCCCGCCCGAGGTTTCTGGTTCAACGAATTCTTCAGGCTCCGGGGGGAAGTCCCGTACCGGATAGAGGACTGATCGGAACCGGGGACCGCGAGCTGGAGGCGGGCCCGGGCGGGCGCTCACCTCTCGGCCGCTGTCATTAGTTCAGGTTTCACCGCCCGCTGTTCTTTGGAGATCAGCACTTGCACCCCAAAGGCAGTGTGGGAGTAGGTGTCATCGGAAAGGAGCTTCCGTTTCCCAATCCCCTTGTTTCCTCCTCTTAAAATACCCCTCAATAAGTTCACTTTTGTATTTTGGGCTTACGTTACATTTTTTAATTTTTATTTTAATTCTCCTTTGGGCGGTATTCCGTGCTTGTTGACATTTCTTTAGTGGATGGTGTCTTTGAAATGTAAGTTTCAGTCAGTGTCTCGGCAGAAACTTTGGTGGCAAATAAAGTTAAAAGGTGCAGAAATGGTGCGAAGCCATTGATGACTGCCTCAAGCACAGCATACGTGTAGGTGATGGACGCCTTTGCGTCAACTATTTGGAGCATGTGTTTGTGTGCCACTTCTGGGTTTTTATTAGAAATTCTGTGATTGGATTTGGTCACGCCACAGGATTTAAATTGGGCATTTCAAATCCAGTATCTGGGTTTGGTGTCTTACAGGCAAGAAACATAAGTTCCATAAACGACGAAGTTCTTTTATTTTGTGTGTACATCCATGATCTGTAGGGAAAAGGGGTCTGGGACAAGCACAAGGTAGTGGGGTAAGATGGAGTAAAGATACGGAGAGCAGAAATTGAGATTGTGGAATAGGGAATCGGGTTGTTTTGGGTTCATTTGTTTGTTTGTTGTGATTAATCCCAAGAGTAGACTTCACGCCAGTTCTCTGTCTTTTTCATGATCCTTGACAGTTTCTTTCTTTTCCATGTGTTAGGTCGCCCACAGTACAGGGGTTAGGTAGTAACTTTACCTCCAGGTACTCAGTCTAGTAGGCTGAATTCAGTGGGTGAGGGAGGTGTGAAGGATTTTGAGGTCATCTCAGAGTGCACCTACCTCTGTTGTGTGTACTCTTTGGTATCTGAAAGCAGGATGGTATGAATGAGGGTCTTTGAAATCTAGATACGATTTATTTGATGGGGCACTATGTTTTTGCGCATCCAGGAGTAAGTAGAAGTTATGTCATATGTCACACTGCTTGAATGTTTATAATTGTGTTTCAGTAAACTCTAAGGAAGGTAATGCTTTTGCTTTCCTTTCACATAGGTAAGTAGGAAGATAGATAGATGTAGTTGCACAGCCCATACATTGTCTCACAATATTGCAAAATGGCAAGTTACTTTTCTATAGACAAAAGATTTATCCTTAAAACAATTTATAACACTAAGAAGGTTTCCTGAAAAAAATTGCAATGGGATCGTAAAATCAGAGTCATATTGCATCTTGAAATTGGTGGCACAAATTTAATACAGTACTAAGAATATAGATTAAGAATCAGTGAAAAGGCTCTGGAAATTTCATATCGAACAATGACAGATCATTATTGTTTGTGAAATAGATCAGGCACATGTTCAGACTTTTTCATTTTCTTTCCGTTCAGTGTTTGAAATATAAATACAGAAAGTACTTCAACCATTTTCAATTATTTCATAGCTAAAAATGTAATATTCATAAATGTGATGCATAGTGGAAAACAGTGTTGTTGAAATATTAGCCTTAGTAATAAAAAGTTTACTGTTTCTATCATCTGTTTTGTTTCCATATTTGCTTGAAACTTAGGTAAAACTTATTGGTCAAATCTGACTTAGTCTGGGGCTAACCGGAATGAGCCGGTTATTTTCTTTACGTTCTGAAACTGTAAATGCTATATGGCTTGTAAAGAATGAACCACAACCTGTCTATCATTTACTTACCAGTTTTTCTGTCATCTTACTACATCTAAAATTGCTAATGATGGTGTCACATGACTTATCATTTTGTCCATGTTGCTTGTTGTTTTACTTCTTTTTACCACATATCTATAGTACTTCTCTAGTAATTTATCCTTTAGTTGTATTTATATCAGTACTGATTTATATAGAAATTAGTTTCACTGTCAGAAATAATACAGGAATTTTAGGGTCACTTGTTCTTATTTTTACAAGGTGGGGGCAAAAGTAGGTTTACAGTTGTTCATATGGAAAAGAATACAATAATTAATAAAAATACAAGAATAAACTTCGTGTTTTGCATACTCACAGCCATAAACCGACTTTTGCCCCATCCCATATTGTAATCACAAGACTCTCCAGGAGACCGTATGCTCAGGTGATCAGGTGAAGGGGGGAGGGGAGCAGAAAGATGTCTTCCAAAATACAAAACTGGCCTTCAAGATTTGTCCCAGCAGCTTCTAGTTTACTTGGTTATTTTTAAAAAATGACACATGGCTGGCAATTGTAGATTCTTGTTGCTTCAACGTATGGTCCTCAGACCAGTAGCTTCAGCATCACTTGGGAGCATCTTAGGTATGGAGATCTCCAACCCCACCCAACCTACGGAATTAGATGCTGAATTTTAACACTCTCAGCTGATTGTAAACATATTGCAGTTTGAAGTTTGAAAAGCACCCTCTATCTCAGTGGTTCTCAACCTTGGCTGCACATTAGAATCACCTGGGAATCTTTTTAAAATCCTGATTTCTGGGTCTCATCTTCTGGAAATTCTGTTTCTTTGTTTTGGGGTGGGGCCACAACATTAGTAACAAAGAAACAGAATTTCCGGAGGATGAGGCCCAGAAATCAGAATTTTAAAAAGATTCCCAGGTGATTCTAATGTGCAGCCAAGGTTGAGAACCACTGCTCTATCTAGATCAGTGGTTTTCCAAGTGTGGCCCTCTAACCAGCAACATTGACATCACCTGGCAACTTGTTAGAACTACAAATTCTCAGAGTTCACCCCAGGCCTAATCAGAAATTGTGGATATGGGGCCCAGCAGTTAATCCATTTTAATCACCTCCAGGTGATAATGATGTATTAGAAAGTTTGAAAACCACTGCTTCTAGATTCCTGATTCTCAACCCTGGCTGCATATTAGAGTCGCTTGGAGAGTTAAAATAACTCAAACATAAGAAAACCACCGATGGCTGAGTCTCATCCCTAGAAATTTGATTTAATTTGTTTAGAGTGGGTTTCGGGTATAACTTGCTTATTGTTGTTTGCTTCTGTTTGTAATTTCTAAGCTTTCCAGATGAGTCTGATACGCAGCCAGGGTTAAAAACCACTACTCTAGATATAGTAATAACCTGTGTTTAGCTGGAGGGTTAGGAAGTCAACCTCAAAAAACTCAGGGCCAAATTTATTCACTTACTATTATGCATTATATAACAATGTAGATAATTTGCTAAGTGTTGAAACCCCTTTAAAAATTTTGGGCCTCTTGCTTTAAGTTCTCCCTTGCTGGACATCCCTGTTTGGAATTTATTACCAAATAAAGCAATCTTAACTATGATTTTCTCTTGGTGGATGTGCTCAGTATCATCAGGGGCTGGAAACACTAAAACACAGATGTCTTCCATCATCAATCCAGAAAAATGCTCACTAAATGGGGACCTGGAAGTTTCACTAACAGACAAAATTATATGTGCATCCTGGATGGTATCAAGTAAAGTGTAGCCCAGTGCTCAGGTGATGACTTCAACAGTATTATGGAACAGTTGCAGTGCGATTTGGACCATGGAAAGTTCAGGATTGTAGTAGAATCTCATTGTTTCACAGTGTATTTCCTTGCTGACATGTGATGTGGAGCATCTTTTCATATACTTATTTGCCATCTGTATATCTTCTTTGGTGAGGTGTCCATTAGGGTCTTTGGCTTAATTTTTAATTGAGTTGTTTGTTCTCTTATTGTTGAGTTTTAACAGTCCTTTATCAGATGTGTCTTTTATAAACTTTTGTCCCAGTCTGTGGTTTGTCTTCTAATGCTCTTGACATTGTCTTTCACAGAGCAGAAATTTATTTTAATGAAGTAAGGATTAAAATATATCTATTAACAGTTGAATCTAAAAAACAAAATAAATGAACAAGTAGAACAGAAACAGTCTCATGGATACAGAGAACACTTTGACGGTTGCCAGATATTAGCAGTGGGTTTAATCAGATTTAGAAAGTTCTCTGTCTAAAATTCTTAGGTTGTTATGTATTTTTATCATAAAAGGGGTTAAATTTTTGTCAAATGTGTTTTCTATATCTGTTTCTATGTGTGGGTTTTGTTGTTCTTTATTAATATGACTAGAGGCCCGGTGCACGAAATTCGTGCATGGGGGTGGGGGTCCCTCAGCCTGCCTGCACCCTCTCCAATCCGGGACCCCTCGGGGGATGTCTGATTGCTGGGATCAAGCCTAAACTGGCAGTTGGACATACCTCTTGCAATCCAGGACCGCTGGTTCCTAACCGCTCGCCTGCTTGCCTGCCTAACCGCCTCTGTCTGCCAGCCTGATGCCCCTAACTGCTCCCCTGCTAGCCTGATCGCCCCTAACTGCCTCTGCCTGCCAGCCTGATTGCCCCTAACTAACCGCCTCTGCCTGCCGGCCTGATCGCCCCCTAACTGCTTCCCTGTTGGCCTGATCACCCCCTAATTGCTCCCCTTTTCGAGCCTGGTTGCCCTGACCTGCCCTCCCCTACCGGCCTGGTCGTCCCTAACTGCCCTCCCCTGCCAGCCTGATTGCCCCTAACTGCCTCTGCCTCAGCCCCCACAACCGTGTCTTTTTCTGGAAGGACATCTGGAAGATGTCCGATCTAATTAGCATATTACCCTTTTATTAGTATAGATATGTTGGTTGACTTCAATATGTTGAACTAAGTTTTATTCCACTTACCTTCCCTTTTACTATTCATTTAGTATGTTCTGACTTGTTGACTACTACCCCAAGCCATCTAGATGTTCCAACCAGAAACCCTAGAGTCATTGTAGACCGTTTCCTTTCCCTTTCTCCCTATATTCAATTAGTTGATTCTGTTTTAATACCCTCCTAACTTTTCCCTCTTTCATTACATCCTCCACCCTGATGCCATTTCTTTTTCCTCCCAAAGGTGAATCTCATCATCTAAATCTACTTACAGAAAAATTTATCAAGGAGAAATTTATATTCATTCCCTGTCTTCTGCTGATGTATATAAATCATTACCAACAGTTAGGTCTTTGTCTTGTATTTAAAGATTCATAGATTATTTTCTATGAATTATGGGTGACATTTTGTTTTGTAAAATGTGATTTGTACTTTAATATTAATGTTATTGTAGGAGTGCTAATAATACTATTTTTGGACACTAAAGATATGGTCTAACTTTATCCATTAAAGGAGTGAAATAGGAAAGAGAGCTTAAAAACAGACGCATACCAACTGAGAGAATGGAATGTGGTAGGGTTGCTACTGATTTGTTGCTGTGCTTCAGTTGATCCTTGTGAACATTCTGTTTTTGGAGAAGTTTACACACACTGTATCATATTACAGGGATTACGAGGTCTATCACTAACTTTATCACATGTACTATTGAAGTAGTAACTCTTAGCCTAGATTTTTATAGAGGTTATTTATTTTGAATCCAAATTATTTTAAATGGATAAGTAAAGTCTAATTTTCACATTGGTATATGTTATAGATACCAAATATTATGAAATCTCTGTAACCAATTTTAAGTCTTCTACTTGTTTGTTTTGCAGCCTTGCATTGCATCCTGAACGAGTATTGGTAGCAACAGGACAAGTTGGGAAAGAGCCTTATATCTGTGTTTGGGATTCATACACGGTACAGACCATATCGGTTCTGAAGGATGTTCATACACATGGTATAGCTTGCTTAGCATTCGACTTAGATGGCCAGGTATGTGATAATTTTTTCTTTTTTTGTAACTGTGTGTTAAGAATGTGTACTATAAGGAATTATTATAAATCTATGGATATTAAATCAGAAAGCAATGATGAAAAGTATTTGTTCAAGGGTGGAGGTGGGTAGGTGGGATGAGTGGTTGGTGTATATGAGAACAATGAGGTTTTTTAATTTTCTCAAGAACTTTTCAATTGAATTAATTACTATCATGAAAGCTAAAGAGACTCTGATGCAGTGGAATATTATCTGATTGCTCTAGAAAATTTTACACACAATTCTTTTCCAGGTTGTGTATATTGATAAGACAAATGGAAGACATCTTAGGAAAATTAAGTTTAAGTAGAGTTGTATACATTTTAATTTTTAGTTATTTTAAGGTTTTCTATTAAAATTACATTTTTTTATTGAAAATAACAAGGCAGTTCCTATATGAACTGTTTTTAGACAAAAATCAAAGTTAAAAACAAAGGATATAATTATAATTTCACTTACTTTACTAATCAGTTCCCAAATTATTATTTACTTCTAGACAATGACTTTTTAAAAAATTAAACAAGTCAACAGCTTTTTGGTGGTGTTTTCATGGAACTTATTATACCTAAAACATATTTAAGAAGTGGTAAAAAGTTGGATTTTGTAGGTGTGCAAAACTTTTATAGTCTTTAAAAGTTTTATGTTAAAATTAGAGTTTAAAAATTATTTTAACCTTTAGAAAAAAATTTTAGTTACCTGCTTTTCAATTCATAAAATTAATTTCATAGGTCTAGATTTAACAGGAACCGATTACATTGTGATCTCGTCCCTTGAAAATGATATCCAGTAGATGTTTTATTTATAACTCTGAGGAATAGGTTCTTTGAGTAGCATAGATACATATGACTTTCTGATAAGAGTCTGGTAAGAGATCTATAAAGACTTAACTGGAACCTCTCATTTGGGTAAAAGTGTGCTTCTAGGTTTAATATCACAGTGTAGCAGTGATCATCAATTACAGAACCTTAATTTGTGTGCCATTTTTATTATTTTTTCAAGACCCTGAATGTCCTCATATCAGAATTTTATTTTATTTTTTAAAAGGAAGAGAATAATACTCTTTACCTACTTTACAGGAGATGAGATTTTATGAAATAAACCTACAAAGTTGTTTTTAAAAATCATTTACTAAAAGTGTTATGAAATCCAAGATGTTTTAACTATATGTCTGTATGTTTTAAATGTAGATGTTTTCTTCTTAATTTTAAAATTGCCTTTTCTAAATGTAATATATTGCATTGCTGAGGAATTTCTCTTATATGTGTAAGGAGAAGTTATGTCCACCGATTTTCTTAGTTGGAACCTTTAATTTCACTTATTTTAGGCAAGTTAAAAGAAAAGTCTTGGGTACATGTATTTTATTACCACAGATATTCATGAGGACATGTTACTTAAAATTTAAGCTTATAAAAAACATGATAGCTAAAAGTTATTGAGCACATACTAAGTGTAAGGCATTGTCTGCATTATCTCATTTAATCCTCACAACCCTGTGAAATAGAGACCGTTATTATCTCTATTTTACAGATAAAGAAACTGAGACTTAGAGAGGTTAAATAACTTGCCCCAGGTTACACAGCTAGTAAATGGAACCAGAGCTGGAACCCAGGTCAGTCACACTCCAAAGCTCATGTTTTTAACCGCAATCCTTGACTGCCTCCCAAAAAGGAACTTAGAAGGTGCTTATTTATATTTCAAAAGGAATTTATCCATCTTAAGTACAGTTAAAGCCTGCTTGAACTGCTTCCAGTTAAAGATTGAGTTAAGAAGAAAATATCTGAAATTATATTAATGAGAAAATGCTTTAGTTAAAAAATATATTTTAGTACATATCTCTCCACTCATATCTATAAACTATTTATGAGATACCAACTAGGAAATACTGTATAAATTTTCCATGTTCTACTATAACTGAAACTGTAAATGACTAATTAAGATTTATCCAATGAATGAGTTTCCCTGTTGGTAGCAATGCTGGATGTTCTTTTCCTAGAGAGGTTCTTCTGAATGGATTGAGTATCTCTGCTAACACTAGAAGTCTCCCTTATGTAGAATAATTAGGGCCTAAAAAGGCTAATTATATAAAGCCACATCAAACAGGGTCTAAAATTTTATAGTAAATGGGGGAGGAATAAGAGGAAGGGAAATTTAGTACTTTATCTTGAAAATATAACCATAATTTAAAATAATAAAAGCACATTTCTCATATTTCATAAAATCTATTATAGTTACAACTTTGTTAATTTGTAGAATGAACCAAGAATAAAGGATTAACGTTTTTAACCTAATTTGTCAACTATATGCTGGTACAAAATGAAATGCTTTGGCTTACCATTGACTTTTGGCACATAATTATAACGAGAGTCATTTTTACAAAAATATTAAGGGATTTCACTGTTTTTTTTCAAGGGCCTTCAGATAACCTCCTGATAATCTAAACATATCTCAAGTGCCTATTGCATTTTAAAAATTTTTTCTTGTATTGCTCTTCCAGATCCTAACATCTAATTTAATGGCTTTCTGTATGATTTGACCAATATTTACTTCATGAAGTCCTGTGTCTTTTTCAAAATTAGTGATTTTTACTTTGTAACATTGTAACAGTTAGATCAGCGGTTCTCAACCTGTGGGTCATGACCCCTTTGGGGGTTGAACGACCCTTTCACAGGGGTCGCCTAAGACCATCAGAAAACACATATATAATTACATATTGTTTTTGTGATTAATCACTATGCTTTAATTATGTTCAATTTGTAACAATGAAAATACATCCTGCATATCAGATATTTACATTACGATTCATAACAGTAGCAAAATTACAGTTATGAAGTAGCAACAAAAATAATTTTATGGTTGGGGGTCACCACAACATGAGGAACTGTAT